GGGGCTATGTGGTTGACGAAACTTGGAGCTGGCCGCTTGATGCGGCGCCTTCAGCGTATGAAACAATGGGCCGACAGGCACGGTCTGGAGCAAACTTTTGAAGGCCACTTTCAGTTACCCATTCAGACGTGCCTGTTGCTAACATGCGATCGTTCCAGATTCCAGCCCTTCCATCGTCGAGTCCTCGAGCTGCGCGCTTTAAATAGCAAGCGCATCGAATGGCTGTTGGCCCATCTCGGCGACCCACCAGCTCTGCCGCAGGAATGGGTCAACAGCATCTTGAAGTCTGCGCGAGAGGTGAGGCAGTGCTACGCGCATTTGTTTTACTGAGAAGCAGTGCACGCGGTCGTCGGTCCGACTAATTTAACGTAACAGCCTCATACTGAAACTCATTATCAGTTCCCGATCTGTAATCAGTAAAAGGCTAGCGGTCTGCAAGACTTACAGAACGTAGACGGCCTGCTGACGTATGTCTATTTATTCCTTGATGGCATCTGAAGTCCTGATGAACGAGCCTCTTCACAGACGTTCGTAACTGGCTAGTTTTGGGTGTGATAATTATTTTTGAACTCGGATTCTTTGGTATCGTCTACCACAACGGTACGTATCTGCACACTCCGCTTGCATGGGCTAATGCAGTCTCCGTTTATTTGATGAAAATGTAGGTGTGTACCTTTGAACTCCCTATTCGTGTAAATCCGTGTTGTTTTCTCCAAACAAATAGTACCTCAGGTTATTGGCGATGCCAAATGACACGAACCGATGCGGCAGAGTAAAGGGAAAAGAGTAGACAGTGAAAACAAAGTTCCTTGGGATTTTTTGAAAAAAATCTCGCTCTTGAGAGAGTAGTATGCTAGGTCGAAACGGGAAGGGGGTCGCAGAGGTCATGGGAATCAACACCGAAGTGTGGAAGATGCAGCCAGATTCTCCCTTGTTGCTCGCAGAGTCCGCCGATAAGGTTGCGAAGACAGAAGTATCCGCCAAGATCGTCGATAGTCCGCTGGGGGTCGAAACAAAGGAGGACTTTTAGGGGCCGTGTAGACTATGACTGCAAGTTTCGGCAAATGCGATCGCTGACCGGACCGTCGTGGTTCGCATAAAGTCAAATAGGGGAGACTAGCTTAAGCGGTGGGTTTTACATAACAGAATATTTCTAATTTTTATTGGCGTCAGGAGGACGGCGGTCGGGTAGTTAGGGTGCACAGCTGCGAATAAACTAGTCTTTAAAATAAGTGCTACTATAATGTACCAAGTACTATAATTATTATAATCTTTCGGTGGTCGTGGTGCATCGGTATATGGGTCTCACCAGGTACCTCGTAATCAGCCATATTCTGATGAAAGTCGTCGGGTTCACTGATAGAATGCGGTTAATGGCTCAACCAGTCCAAGGTTTACTTAGCTGTCGTCTTTTTCGGCCCCGTCGGCTATGAAGATGTAGGCAGGCTTGTCCTTCCGAACAGCAACTGTAACATACTTGCCATTCTCTTCACTGCTAATTCGTGTTTGGCGATGCGCGCTAGCAGTAATTTTCCTGTTTTTCTAAAGCGATTGCTTCTCCAATAATACATCTGCTTAACAACTTTAGCAACTGAGTACACGTCTTCTCAGTTTTTAATTAAAAAACACCACTCCTCCCACTTGTACTTTTATTCGCGATAATGAACGAAAAACTGTAACAAATTACGTCTTTTGTTTAAGGAATTAGATGGGGAGCAAGTCTATGCAAATCGATCTTCTCGAGGTCGGGAAATCTTGGCCGTGAGAGAAGACCCAGAACTCAAACTACCCTTGCTTATTCCACCAAGTGGTTACGCGGCCACCTCCGGTCTGATCGGCGTTCCGGAGGGGTTCATGGAGACCATCGAACCGTTGGTACAGGATGGCTACATTCGCGTTCGCCGAAATGAGGCCGCATACGTCGCACCAGTAAATGGCAAATGGACTGGCCACTTGGTGGTTCAGGTAAATAGCAAAACTTTTTCAATTGCATGCTTTCAAAAGTTGATTGCGACTTTGAAGGTTTCAAGGTTTCGGACTGCTTAGCTGCAATATAACGTGCACACCTGTCCAGTAATGTCCCACGAGTCTATGTGGATGGATATGCCTATTTAAAGTAATCTACGTATTAAACTCGAGCAAACGATCTTACTCTTAAAAACATGTTTGCAATAAGATTGCAATACTGCTTAGTATGAAACCTAAGCATTTATTCATAAGGTCAAAGCTCCCAGAACATATTTCAAAAACCAACTTCATACTGTCTGCTTTATATTAATGTTAGACCATAACCGTAAGCAGTTCAAACTTTTTCGTTTCTAAAGAATAGAAATAAAAAAGACTTAATATTTTTAAATGGCAAAGTTATTTAGAAAGAGGAAAGCTGTGTGGCGGCTTTCCGAAAATAATAAACGAACGTTAAAATAAAATACCAAAGTGGAATAAGAAACTGCTCAAATTGACCATATGCCTCGCTGAAAATTCCCATTTGACGACCCAATAATATAGCGATATACCTAACCGTGCAGGTCTCGTTATGATTAGCTGAAAGTGATCCCTCTGTTGTCTGTTTTCTTTAAAGGCATCTTTACTCTGCAACAGTATACGTTTTGGACATCTAATGCTTGTGAACGCACACTTTTGCACAAACTTAACATACGAAATGAATGTCCCATGTATTATTTCCGTAAGATTCGATAAAAGCAATACCTATATACGCAATATTAAAAAGGGTCATTCATGCAAAGTATGTATCCTATTTTCTCCAGCTGGCGTCAAGGGCATTGAAAATGTTTGCCCCCAAAAGGCAGCGCACCACTAGGCACAAGCTCACTCAATATCACGTTTAAAATAAGCGTAGACAGCAGGATTTATTGAATTCAACAAATTTCACGAGGGATTTTTAACTGCTCCTCGGTGTTGCATGATTCAGATAACGGTTAAAACTTACAAAAGATTGAATTTTTACAGAACGTTGATGGTGTCATAGTTCAGTGTAACTAATGATCAGCCTATAGGGAGAAAAGAGGGAGAGAGTTGGCCCAAACCAAGTCGGGATTAAAACTAGCTGCCCAATTACCAAGGTGATTGGAGATTGACCACGTGGTCTAGCTGCTTGCACGAGTCGGGTTTCTCCTGCCGTATGCAGGCCGCTTCCAAGTAGCGCCGGGTCCAATTTGTTTGTGCCCGTAATTATATCCTTACCCTTTAAGGGTGATAGCATTTCGAAGAAAAAGTAAGCAACCGTTGTGTTGTACCACAGAAAGGACATACAACACAACCGAACATGCCTTCATCAGTCCTACTTAAAGCCTTCCGGTAAAAGGAGCAAAGGATGCCTTGCCGTTTCACGCCAATCTAAATTATATCTATGAACTTGGGTGCAATTGCAGATGTAAGCACATTGGGCGTACGCAAAGGAAACTGGCAGCCTGGGCCGCTGAGCACTTGCGTAATTGGCTTTTCAAGCAAGGAGACAGAGTACCACGATCCTCGATTACTAAACACCTACTGGACAGTGTTCACTCTGTCGACCTCAAAACAGCTTTCCGAGTACTTGTTCGGGCACGAGCAAATCGGACTTTGTGATACCTGGAAGCGGCCTACACACGGCGGGAGAAACCCAGACTGTGCAAGCAGCTAGACCACGTGGTCAATATCCAATTACTCTGGGCATTGAGCAGCTAGTTTTAATCACGAGTTGGTTTGCGCCAACTCCCACTCCCCCTTTCTCCCTGTAGGCTGAATTGATGTTGATCATTATTTACACTGAGCTATGACCCTTACTGTTATACACTGACGTTCTGTAAAATTCAGTCTGCTGTATGTGTTTAACCGTTATTTGGATCATGTAGCTACGGGATGCAGTATAAAAGCCATCGCGAAATTTGTTAAATTCAATAAATCCTGTTATCTACGCTTGTCGTAACTTCGTACCGGGGAACAAATGCTCCTAATATCACGTTGGCTTTGGGTTGATAGTGTAATCAAGTCATGGTAATGTTGTCACTTTAAATACAGCTCCTAATATTTCAGCCATCTTCATATGCATTTCGTCGCACATTAGTCTCTTATTCTAGGACAGTTACAGATGGGCCTACTTCATATACCTTCTGACATTGTATTAGATTATGACAGATTATAAACTAGTGTCGAGCAACAGCTACCTTATTGCATAACGTGAGATAGGCAAGATACTATAAGTGATTCACTGCTTGGTATGATACGAGGGTTACAGAAAGTACCTCTTGAATGTTATATCTACAGTTTCCATTCCCCGAATGAAGTTGGTAGTACGGCCTGATAACAATTGTTAAGTTGTCGAGCCTTGCCAAAAATCGGGTTTAGTTGGGGCTGCATTGTCGCAGGCGAGACTCGATTAATGATTCAATAAGTTAAAAATAAACAAAAAGCGTCGGTATGGAAAGCCAAGAGATCGAATATTGGAATATGCACATGTATTTCGGCTTTCAGTGAAACGCAGTAACACCAAACAGTCGGTAGATTGATGTACGGAGTGGGTATTTGCTCCCACGAATAACCAGGATATGCCATTCAATACTGCTAAATCTAAACAAATTAATACTCGTCTCCAGAACACTACACTTTAGCATAACTCCTTTACTATAACCCACCTGTAATTACCACAGCTTGCTCGCTTGTTTAGTAAAGCAGTATGGAAAAACAGCTAATATCTTCACGAAAAAAGATTAATTTAGCAAGCATCTCGAAGAATAATTTGAAACATTTTACACCCATTAGTTTCTCCGTCTTACTTGGGAAATGTCCGGTGGGTGCGATGACCAGGTTCGCGGGTTTGGAAAACCTGTGCGACATCCACCTAATGTTCTTTCCCACACTACCTGCTCTAGTGGTAGGAGAGTGTAAAAACGACTTGAGATAAGCGTGAGCGCAGTGGCGGACAAAGTCTTCAAAACCAAGCTCCCTACATTAAGTCAGATCTCACGACGGAGGAGTTGGAGTCAGGTCAAACAAAGATCAAATTCATCGTAACTTGACGATCATTCAGAGGACTCAGTTATCCTATCAGTCGGAAAACTTTCATGTCACTAATTTTAGAGAAAGAGGTTGTGTGGGACAGACCCCTTTTCTACTTTCTTTCTCACTGTGTAACGATCAAAAGTATGGGTTAAGCTGATTGGAAGTAAAGTTTGGCACTGCAGGTGTAACTGAACAAATAAGTCCATCTCTCGGTTGCCACGCGCATACTCTTTTACATGCAATTTTGCGCATGAAAGCGGAAAACGCCGTTCAAGGGGCTGTCTTTAAAAATGAAAACAACTTTTCCGATTATTTTTATTTTATTTTTTCTGTGACCAAAGTAGCTTCAAAACGTTACGATGAGTCTCATTGTGGATTACGAGCTCACCAGATATAGTTACAACGTATTAGCTACCCGCACTACGGGCTTCCAATAGATGCATAAAACAGGCTTCGACATTGACTATATGGCTTTA